TCGAAGCAGTCCACACAGGATGAACATATCCCAACAAGAGACTGATCAATTGTAGTCCTAAATAACAATGGCAAGACACAAGTAAACAACACTAAATGAATCTAACTTACAGTTTATTTGCTTCAATCATTTAACAACTTAAAATTCCGTACAATTACTGTATTATCAAAAGGGGTTTTGTGGAAATTTTAGAAATTTCAATAGTTAAAAGCATGAGTCAATTGAAAATATATCACTATGGAAAACCTGAATTTTGTAATTTTGTTTCTATCGCTTTTGAGCCTTATAACTTCTCAACATTCATCTCAAAGAATCCACTCGATGAGTATATATTATTATTGTAAAACGTATATATATTAGTGTAGAGCCATGATGAACTAAAAAGAAACCTGAAAGTACTGGATAGTCGTTACGTTCTATTGTGAGACACCTAGGCAGTTCTCACTTACCATCCCGCCTCGCGAGATTCAAACCCAGAACCTATCGGTTTAGCGCGCGAACGCCTAACCGGATCTGTTGTGTGATAGTAACTTAATGAAGACAATAGTGAATGTGTCGCTCAATTTCGTGGATTGGTTGAGGTTTGACATTAACACTATTGGATGCGCCCGCACGCGAGACTGATAGGTCCTGGGTTCCAGACCGCGAGGCGGGATCGTTGATGCCCATTGCTGAGGAGTCTCATACTAGGATGAAACGACCGTCCAGTGCTTCCAAGTTTTCCATGGTGATCTAGCTTCAATTAACTCATGATTTCAACTACTGAAATGATTGTATTCACCAAAAAATATATGTATATAGTTTCAAATATCTGTTAAAATAAAAACTCAATTGAATATTAAACTCTTTTACTTAACAACCATTCATTAAATAAGTCGAAAAGAAATTCTCTAAAACTCTAAATATCACACTTTTATTAAACATTTAATATGTCCTGTATATTTTTAGTTGATCTTCTTTTCAATTCATAGTTGTTACATAGTGAAATGAATGAATGAAAAAATATATCTAAGTATAAATAAGTATAATTAAATTCATAAACATCCCTCAAATATGACAAACTAGACATTTAAACAAAAGTGTAGCGTTCTTTTTTTTGTCTTCTTTCTATTTACTTCAGTAACCTTGAACTAAATCAACAAAATCTAATAATGTAGTTCTTAGAAGAAGAAAAAAAAGAACAGATTTTGAAAATAGTAGTTGGTTGTTGATTATCTTTCTCTCTTTTTCTGGTTTTCAAAGTACTTATTAGGATTCATCGTTGAAATTTTTCTCTAATATATATATATATATATATATATAATATATATATATATATATATATATAGTAATATTGGGGTGTACGCTACTGATATCGACAGATATTAGTAGTATGTATCACTAATTGAAAGTGGAATGCCTAGAGGTAAAAGGTTGAGAAGACTGAAAAGACTAGGAAGCGAACAGAGAATGACTGATATAGAATAAAGTATTTACTATATGGTTCTTAGATTTTAGTAAAAGATTCTGTAATTTCGTATTCAAGTACATTTAGTTGTCCCTGTCAGTGTTCTCGTTCACTACGATACATTCTTATTTAAATATAATAATCATACAAGATAAAAATTTTGAAGTATCGTTGTGAATTCTGATAAATCAATATTAAACTCAAACATCGAATTTACAACAGTTAATTCTATCTTTATAAAGTTGCATAAGTTACAGATTAGTTCAATGGTGGTCTAGCTTCAACTGACTCATGATTTCAATCTGTGAAAATTTCTAAAAATCTCCACAAACCCCTTCTGATAATTATGAAAAAGACCATTATCCATATGCTAACAGTGAACCATTTTATGAATAACCTTAGTTTCAAAATATTAACAAGAGTAATAATAGTAGCCAAAGTAATATTTATGACAATAGATCTTGACTATAAAGAATTGAATCTATGTGATGGAATGATTTAAATTGATGTCATGACTGTTTGAACGATAATAACAGAAAAATGCACGACTATGGGTTTTTTATTGATTACTTTCAATCAATCAATACTTTAGACAAAATAAAACTAACAGTTTTGAGATTTCCATACATTCGCATTTAAACACTTCACTGGGCAACTTGAAAGTGTAACGTTTGATTGATTAGTTACTTTAAATAATTTACAGTTGTTTCTATCTTCAGTATTTGGTGATTCCGTGATGATAGTGATTCTCGACTTTCTGGGTAGGAAATATAAACACTTCAGGCATATTCTAACAAAGCTATGAACATATTCTCTTACAATTCAAATAACACTTCCTAATTTCCTTGCCACTAGGACAGAAGATTTTAAAGGTAAATTAATAGGCTTTAGCACTAAGTACCTAGGTTTGAGCTTTTCAGGTATTCTGTATCTTAGTACTCAAAGCTATTTGAAGATGAATTTAATACAGATATCAGTAAATGATTAGATCTTTACGAGTGATCTACGATTAAGATTGATTTTTAGAATGGAGTCAAGATAAGTCAGACAACCATTCGAAACCTGGTGGCATTGGATAGCCGATTCGTCCTAGTATGTGACTTCTCGGCGATGCTCATCGACGATCCCACAACTAGGGATAGAATCCAGGACTTTTGGTCGCGCGCTTAGTGGTCTGTAGGTTAAGCGTTCTCCGGAACACCGAAGATCCTGGGTTCAATTGCAGCTCGCTGGGTAGTGAATGAGTACAGCTGAGAAGCCCCATACCAGGACGAAACGGTAGTTCAATGCTTTCAGGTTTTCAGTCTTTGTCTAACTTAGATCGATTCATGACTTCAGTGAGGTCGAATTATTTTTAATCGATTGAATTTATCTATAGCCACTATCCATTTTTACTTAAATATGTTATCATTAATGGCGTATAGTACCTGTTAATTTCTAATTAATACGTCTCAGTCTAATAATACCAACTATCAGTCAATTTTATCAGAGAGATAACCAGACAATTTTTGTAAAATTAAATAACTTTTCTAGATTACTGGTCTACTTAGAAGATTTACTCTGAGTTATAATTTAGATGTAAGCAATTGTTAAGAGGAAAATTACTTTCTGTAAACTAAGCGAAACTATTCATTGATTCATTTGGCCGTTGGACATTTGTTGGCAATAAATTAGGTGTCTAATTTCCCAAATGATTTATACACGCAATTCAATTACGAATAAATGTGTAATAAACTTTTTTTCAAGAGATACCTTTATTTTCAGAATGGGGAATCGTGGAAATTGTATAATTTTAACATTTGGATTCACTAGTTGATCTAAGCTAGACCACCAGTGAAAACCTGGAAGCACTGGATGGCCGTTTCGTCCTAGTATCGGACTCCTCAGCAGTGTGCATTCATGACTCCGAACGCGGGACTCCAACTCAGGTCATCAATATTTGTCTAGCTTAGGTTCATGAATTCAACAATTAAAATTACTACCATCTCCACAAGTCTCCAATCTAATAATATTCATGCGCTCACTAGTGAATAGCTTCAAAATATAACTTCTGGAGTTCTAATGAGAGGTCATGACTAGTGAAGTGCAATCTGTGTCGAGTGTTAAACAGACAACGGATGAATGGTTGCGCAAGATCACACATACCTGTATTTATTCGAAAATATCAAACATTTTAAAGTCAGAGCATTATTATTTTGCTTAAATTTAGAGCTGAATAGTGTTTTTTTTTTCGAAAAAACTTAGTACCTTTCACTTTAAATAACAATGATTCGCTGGATTCCACTGTTAATCATCATCTAACTTTAACAAAAATCTAGTAATCAAATAACAAGATCAAGATGATCCATTGAGGATAAACATATACCAATAGAGACGGAGTAATTACAGTCTGTAATGTTAACAAATAAAAAATGTAAGCTCTTACAATAGAATAGATTACAGTAAACACACCTAAAAAGTGCCTTTAGATCTGTTTTGTTGTATAAAGTTAAATAGTATGAAATGCATTGTCAAGATGTAATGTATGATGAAATGAATCTTTTCTTAATTATTCAGTAAGCTAATTGATTGAAAGTAAGATAATCATCCATTCTTCATAAGACTAAATTGTGTAAAAATTATCAACTTCATAAAAATTTTAATAATTGAATTCATGAGTCAATTGAAACTAGACCACCGTCGAAAACCTAGAAGTACTAGAAAGCTGTTTCGTCCTATTATGGGACTTCTCAACGGTGCACATCCATGAAACGGTCATCCAGTGCTTCCAAGTTTTCCATAGTGGTCTAGTTTCAATCGACTAATGAATTCAACTATTAAAATTACTATAATATCGACAAAACCTATCTGTGTTCATAAAAATTACTTATGATATTTGTATCATGTTATATGCATATCATATTCATTGAAATTGATGGTAATAATGATAATAATACACTGTTAAACATACATAACGATTTATATTAATAAGTTAAACTATTAGCATGTTACGTAAATTATTATTACTCTCATATAAATGTAATTCCTTTCCCATTATTTTGGTATAATTTTATAATCCTTATGTAACCCTACTTAATACACAATAATTAGATAAATTTATTCCTATCCTTATTAATATTTCTAATGAATAATACAGTCCTATGGCTTGTCACATCAAAACTACGTTCCATTCAATAACTAATGATTATTTTAAACATCAGAGAAAGTTTCTAATTTAGAAACTAATAAGAATAATACACTTGGTATATCACAGCCAAAACATATATATATATATATATATATATATATATATATACATCAGAAGAGGTTTTAATGGATATTATAGCATTTCTAATAGCTGAATTCATGAGTTAATTAAAGCTAGACCACTATGGAAAACCTGTTATTATGAGACTCCTCAACAGTGCGCGTCCGTGATCCCGCCTCACGAGATTCAAACCCAGGTCTGCCCAGTGCTTCTAGATTTCCCATGATGGTCTAGCTTCAACTGATTCATGATCTCAACTATTAATACATATATATGTTCTAGCATGTATAACTTAGTCACATCTACCTTTTACCTTCATTATTAAAATATTTAATAAATTCTTGACAATAATCTTTTTTTTTTAAACTAACCTGGTAATTTTTCATTTCATCTGATGAACAAATTAAATTTCCTAATATTAAAGGTTTTATATTGTCAATTGAATTCTTTTGTTGAATAGAATTATTTTCATTAATAAGTAGTATAGAATGATCATTATCTATAATTGTATCATGATTATTATTATTATCTTTAATTAATTTTGTCATTGTAAGTATACCTTTCTCTATACAATTTTCATCAATTATTAATTCTTCTGTTTTTAAAATATTTTGTTCTTGATATTGATCAGAATGATTAGGATCATGATCAGTTTGAATGGGATCATATTCATAATCTTGACTTGATTTTATTTGTTGTAACTTATTATTATTATTATCATTTTTATTATCACTTTGATTATGTTGTCTTTCTATTCTCCTGACTTCCTCTTGTCTTAATTCATTAACTTTGTCCAAATGATGTTTGACCATAGAATTAGAATAAATATTGATATTAACTGCAGAAGAAGAAGAAGAGGAACAACAATATTTTGAGTGATTTTTTTTTGAATTTATAAATGTTGACTTGTTACTATGATTAATAATAATATTACTATCAGTAAAATTATTATTAAGACATGTTGAAGTACTGAATGTAAGAGCTGTTAATTTTGTTATTGGATTATTGTTATCATAAGTATGATGATCTTGTGGCATAAGATATGATTGGTGATAACAAGTCGGATAATGACCAATACAGTAACTATGGTGATTATTAAAATTTGGATGTTGTTGACGTTGTTGTTTTTGTTTTTGTTGTTGATTGTGACGATTATTTACATCAACCAACTGAACAGTTAACATTTCAATTTATATGCTGATATCATTCACAAAGTGTATATTTTCTATTTTCTATTGATTTTATGTGTCTTATATATATATATTTTAAAAGATCGTCTGATTAATAATTATTATTCCGTAAATAGGTTTTGGAGTTGTTTTTTTTCTTCGTAATGAATTTACGTTATTTCTCTACTATGGTTAACATACAATTCATTCAACGTAAGCATTCATATATTATAGGAATGTTAACTATACTTTGGCAGCATTCTGATTGGTTAGCCTACATGTATCAATCAACCAATCGAATTCTACAGCGTATTTTTGGGATGAAATTCATTTTTCATTTTCTATTCGTATTTAGTCACTTGTAATTAGTCAAATTTACTAATAACTTTTTATATTATTCAGATTGCTTATTTTTTTTATGAGATGCAGTACAAAGAAAAATAGATCTATTTGTTTTTTTATTGAGATCAAGAACCGATTGATGTTAGATCACCATGGAAAACCTGAAAGCACTGGACGACCGTTTCGTCCTATTATGGAACTCCTCAGCAGTGAACGTCCACGATCCTGTACGTGGGATTTGATCCATATACTGATGATAATCATGTGCTCACTAATGACTAGCTTCAAGATAAAACTTCGAGAGTTCTAGTGAGAAGCTATGACCAGTAGAGTTCAACTGTGTCTGGTGTAATGTAATTACTCACTGAATAAAATGGAGGATATATATATATATAATAACTGAAAATTCTGACTTAGATAATGAAACCACCAGGCCATCATTGAAAACCTGGAAGCACTGGACAGCTGATTTGTCATAGTTTGGGATTCTTCAGTAGTTCGGATCCACGACCCCTCACGTGCGATTTCAATCCAAGAATTTTGGTCTCGCACGCGAAAGCTTAACCTCTAAACTACTGAGCCGGCATCTTATAGTCTGATCAATTACGTAATCACTTACCTGTATGTTTAAAATATAACATTGTACAGTATTAAGCTTATCCCACTTACACTAATTATAATCGTACATAGGAAATGAACAGTATTTTTAAGAGTAGATGAATAACACTATGCTTTCGTCATTATATTGAAAATTCTGTAAACTTTATTATCACAAGACTTTGTAATAAATCGTAAACATATCGATTAACCTACGATATAGCAATACGATTCATACATAGGTTGTTACACTAACTGATTATTTTATGGTCAGTTTAGAAAACAATCAATTCACCAAAACTATCGATGACTTGTATCATATAAGATGATAAATTTAATTCAAGCAATACTCTACATTTAATAACTGTTAACCTAAAACAAAAAATTACACACTAAACATATAATGTCCCGATTTTTGTATAACATGAAATTCCGGTAGAACTGTCATAAGATCCGTTTACAGAAAACCTTTATGAAATGGCCAGCTAGCAATCTTCCACAGCTGAATCCCTATTGGAAGACGGAAAAAAATAGCATCCTCATCAAAGAAAATCCCTGTTCTGAACATCTATTTCAAAAGTGGAAACATCTTGAAAGGAAGAAATTTTATCTCTCCCAAAAGAACTTTCTTAGAAACCTTTAGGTTAGTATTCGCTTGCCGATTAACGTTCATAAACAACCGAAAGCCTAAACTCTCACATATGATCATTTTATATGCACTCATCATCTTATCTACATTTGTGAAGCAAGATATATAGGTTGTTTGATGCATGTTCCACCGAAGGTTATTTCAGAAAATTATCTAACTTAGCTTAAATGAGACGGAAGGGATTCAAAAGGAAGCTATATAATCAAACACCGTATGAACATAAACCATTCAGTCAAAACCGACACAGTGTTTTAAGTCGTTTGCAAAGTTGATAGAAAGCTATTAAAGACAGTGAATTTCCGTTATACATTTTGAAAACAGGGAACTATGTATGCAAAAGAAATTTATTTGATACTTTCTACCATGGTCTTAATCTCTAGTTTTCCAAAACCATTACCCTTCATCTAATATCTTTCTCGATTGACCTGTTAGCCCCTGATGGTCTTGTTTTTGCTTTTCTTTTCTTTTCGACTACATTTTGTCTTATCACATTATTTAACGCATCTTTGTAATTATCAATTATCATCTGTTTTGTTGATAAACTTTCAAACTCTGTCTTCTAATAGGTATAACATCTTTCGTTTTCTTTCTTATTTTACCTCACTGTTATCATGTTTAATAAATCTATCATTATTTTCATCAGTCTTAATAGATATATTATGGACTATAATTTTGGATTATATGTATATATATATGTATATAGTCGTACAGCTTCGTAAATGAATTTTCCGAAAAAGAAAAGCACTCGTCACTGAACCAGTCTTTTCTGTTTGTATCCTTAAGTTCTTTACTTAAAACTAAATTGAACCAAACAACAAGTTAGATATCTTCATTGAATTAGATTAAAACTATTCGATGATGTAATCATGCACGATTTTGGAAAAAAATTCTTTCATGTACATTCCTACTTATCAATAATAGTTCTACAGTAATACTTTTCTTTTTCCATTATATCTTTGGATAATGTGAAGTATAACAGTAACCAAAATTGTAAATAAACCTTAATAATGAATCCATAAAAATCACAGATCTGAAATATAAAGTTATGTAACAATAATTTTTGGATGGAATTAAAATGATCATTTCTTGATAGAATCAATCATAGTTTGATTGAAATTATACTAAAATTTATTCTTTCTATTATAGTATACCTTATATGGTGGTTGGAGGTAGTCAACAGGAAACCCTGGACCCGGGTTTCGTGCTACTTGGCACTCGTCAGCAAGGTGTACCTGTAATCTTGAGGGAATTGGTGCTCCCTGGAGGATTCGATCTCGTGTCACCCAGCTTCACAGTCAGAGACGTTACCACTGAGCTATCCGAGGCGTGACTAACCTCCTGTAGGACTGAGATGTATACCTTAAAATAATAATAGAGCTTAGCATTAACTCTAGTACATTGAAAAAAATTAATTTAATTCAGTAACAAGAGGTTAACATGAAATAAGATCTTGTGAAATATTGATACATTATTTAGAAGGATCTTAATGAGTACATAATTTAGACCAAGAGTTTCACATAGATTATTACCAATCAATCAATTGAACTCGATCATCTATGGAAATTAACCCTATAAATATTGATTTTTCATGCATTAAACTCAATTTATTTAAACAATGTCCAATTAAAAGATAAAATAAATTAACCCCCCCAAAATTAAATTATTTAAATTTACCTCCAAAAATTTATTTAAATTTAATAAAATAATTTAATTCAATGAAATAATGAAATATATTAATAATAAGTTACTTACTTGTTGGTCATTATACTGATTTTCTTTCTTTGAATTTATTTATTATTTTTTAATAGAAAAAAATCTCGGTAATCTAATTGATAGTTCGTTTTTGTTTGATGAGAGAGGGGGGGGAGGCGGCAAGAAAGAAGAAAACGATACTAGCAATACTACTATTACTACTAATAATAGTAATAGTAGTAATAAAACACCTACACTCATAAACCAATCGCTTTAATCAAATGAATATATAAGAAAATTTTTTAAAAAAAATAATTCGACTGTAATATTTCTTTTTTATTAAAGAGGAAATTAAAATGGATCAGAATAAACATACTTTACTTTGGACAGTAACAACATTTCTATTCTTCAAACAGTAATAATAATAATAATGATAATTTGTTATTTATGGATATAGATGTATGCTTTATGACATAATTATTATTTTGTAATGATTCAATATCTCCGACTCTGGTTAATTCATTATATCTTATATGATTAGTATTATTATCATTAGTAGTAGTAGTCGTAGTCGTAGTCGTAGTAGTAGTAGTAGTAGTAGTAGTAGTAGTAGTAGTAGTAGTAGTAGTAGTAGTAGTAGTAGTAGTAGTAGTAGTACATGTTAACCAATAGGACTATTGTTTAGTTTCACTTGTCAGAATTCTTTCGCGCCTTTACATAAGAAGTATGCATATACAGACATATATATGTGTATGTATATATATATATGTATGTGTGTGCTGTAGCAAGTGCTACTTTTTCAACATTGAACAAATTGTTTAAAATATGGTAAATATAGTGTTGGTTTTTTTATTTTTAAAAAACCATATTTCTTATATTCAAAATTTATCGATTCTAATCTAGTGACACTTCATTAATATAAAACTTGTAAATAAAATTTTCTCAAAACTTCCACTAAAACTCTTTTAACTAATAAGCGGATAATTTATAATAAGATAGGTCCTGGATTCGAATCTAGCGGGGGGCGGGATCGTGGATGCGCACTGCTGAGGAGTCCCATACTGGGATGAAACGGTTGTCCAGTGCTTCCAGGTCTTCCATGGTGATCCAGCTTCAATGGACTCACGATTTCAACCAGTGAAATATATCTATAAAGATAAATCTTCTTGGATGGTAGTTTACATTGTAGAGTATGCTAATCTAGATGATAAATTGAAGAAGTTACTAAGCTCAAGAAAATAGTTTATTTCATAAGGATTTTTAAGAATTATTAGTTTATAAGTTATATTGATCACAGATAAATCTCAGTGAGGATACTAATGAAATATAGGAAACACTGGGTGATTATTATGTTTCATTGTGCGAATGGTGGAGAATTTTAATGATTGGATGGTGGCACGATTTTGTGGGTTGGTTGAAGTTAGACATGAACATCATCGGATGTCGATTCAGCGGTTTAAAGGTTAAGCGTTTGCTTGCGAGACCGATAGGTCCTGGGTTCTAATCTCGCGGGGGAGGGCGGGATCGTGGATGCGCACTGTTAAGGTGTCCCATACTAGGACGAAACGGTTGTCCAGTGCTTCCGAGTTTTCTATGGTGGTCTAGCTTTAATTGACTCATAAATTCAATTATTAAATAAGTAATCATTTTTCAATTCCCGTTAACCAGTTCTCCGTAAAATTAAGCTTGTGTCTCTGATGATACAGATAGCTAAAATTCAAAAAATATACAATCTATTATCAAACTGTACAATCGTATATATATGAAAAAAGTACTAATTCCGTGAAGAAAGATTATAATACCGGATTACGTAATACGAATAATAACAACAGATTTAGTGAATATAATAAGATAATTAAAATGTTTTTGTTATAATAATTAAAGGCCATAGAGGTGTAGAAATAAATAAGGTGATATAATGTATTTTATTTTATTATTTTAACACATAGATATTGGTACAAAGAGGCACCAAATATATATGCGCCACACAAATCTCATTTGATATGTGTGAGGGCTGTGATACTGCCCGGGTGCCCAAACCAAAGCAGGTGGTTTTCTCAAGGGGCCACTCCCTGAGCCTTCGATCTGAAGGTCTGATCCACAAGGCAGTGGAGCATCGTCAGGAGATGCAGTCCGATGGAAGCCGGTGACCAACAATTGGTTCGTACGCCATTTGTTCCCGGAGGATACTGGAGCCCATGTGCACCATTGATTTGGCTTGGGATCCGGTCAGAGCGCTGGACATTCGCTTTTCGTCCTCTCAATTTCGTAAACAACACCCCCGTCGCGAGAAGGCAGTGAGTAGGACTTCCCTGGCGGAGGCTATATACGTGTAGCCATGTGAGAGCATTTCTAGAGGGATAGCGGACTCTCCCCACTCTCGGCCATACCAGGGCATTTGGGGGCAGTAATAATAATAATAATAATAATAGGATAATCAAAATAATTAAGAACAAGGTAACGATAACGATAAGACGTACTTCTTTTGTACTCATAGTTCTGGTTAAAGCTAATAGATGGTAAGAGCTTCGGCTACTTTTAAAAGTTGGATACGAACAAATCTGGATAGATTTGAACGAATCATATAAACAACCTTAAAATCAGATTATGGAACTGTAGCATGGTTACAGTCGATTAGGTTTTCAAGTATATACCTCCTAACTGCTTTCCTTTCACCCTTATAGAACCAAGCTTGGATATGTTCCCGTATCCGAGTTTAAAGCGAGCGCTGACTACGGAATTAGTACCTTTTTCATATATATATCTTGTACAGCTTGATAATAAATTCGTTGAAAAGAGATCCGTTCGTTGAACTTCGTGTTTTAATTTTAATGTTTAAATGGGAATTATCTGTGAAATATACAATCAACATTCAAAGATTTGATAAATCTCAGCACAACCGATATCTGATAAATTTCAATCGAATTATAGATCAAACATAAAGTTGTATAATTTACATCACATACTGATTTTATTTAGACAATCGTTAGAAACTAGGAAAAAATGGACAGTTATTTTGTCCTGATACGGTATGATTCTCTAATATACATCCATAACTTCATCACAAGAAGGTCAAACCCAAAACTTTTTTTATCTGAAGGTGGACATCTAACCAAATGGAACTACAGAATTGGTAGATATACCTCAGAGGAGTCCCATACTAGAACGAAACAACTGTTCAATATTCACTAATTTTCAATGTTATCTTCATTAAATTCAATCTAAAATTAGTACAATTTATAAACTAAACTAGTCGCTTTGAAACCTATTCAACTAAATCATGATATTAATTTGTAAATACATTATTCAACCATAGTAAGGTCTCATATATGTAGGTGGATAGATAGTATGTAATTTCAAAGTGATAAAAATAATTAAAAAAACAGGCTTTAAGACTAAAATAAAACAACAAAGTGAATTTTTTTTCAATTAATTGTCTCAACAACAAGAACGATAACAAAAAAAAAAGATTAAAATAACACAGTTTAAACCCTTGAAATGATACCAAGGTAAATGTGATCATAAATATCTTTAATAATAAAAGAAAAGCATTGAGAAAAGAACAAAACCATTATGACTTTTCATGGTTTATTCTGGTCATATCGACTGTTCAGATAACAAAACATACCATAATTGTAAGATAAAAAAGAAGTAAAACTTAACAAAAGTAATTGCTTTATAATAAATAGAAAAAAACTTAAGAAGTTCCAGATATTTTATCTGTAGTTGTAGGTTAATTAATTTATAATATTCAGACAATGTTGTAGAAAATGTTAAATTTCATTGAGATCATGAACCTATCTAAGTTAATCCACCTTTAATAGCGTAGAAATACTGGATGGCCTTTTTGTTTTAGTATGAGACTCTTTTGAAGTATTCACCTAAGACATTGAAAACGGGAATCGAACTCTGGATCTTTTGTTTGATGCTTGAACACTTAACCTTCAGACTATTGAACACGGCATCTAGCAATATCAATATCTAACCTTAATCAGTCTAATACATTTCAAGACCATCATTTTTGTATTCGGTGGGCAATTGTCTCAAACCTGACATAGATTAGTTAAACTGGTCAGGGCTTCTCTCCAAGTACATGATAATTTTCAGTATGGAGTCCCATACTAGGACTAAATATATGTCCAGGACTTCCAGGTTTTTAATGGTGACCTAACCTAGATCAGTACATGATTTGAATGTAATTAAAAATAGTTATACTTTTATATAGTATAAATCACAAAGAAATGATAGTTAGATAATTATTGGAAACCTGCTAACACTGGATACCTGTTTTGTCCTTGTATATAATCCTCAGAGGTACCTAGTAACGACTCTGCATTTTGGAGTCAAGCGTAGAATCTTCGGTTTCTTATGAGATCCCCTAATCTCTGGACCACTGAGCCAGGATTCAACGATGTATATGTCTAATTACAATCAATTCACAATATTGCGCAACAAGTCTCCCATTGCCTAGAATGAATAAGTAATCATCTCACATCCGACATGGTTGAACTCCACTGGTCACAAACTCCAAGAGTTTCATCTTGAAGCAACTCAATAGTAATTATTATAAAAATGTTTCTTGAAAGTGAATTCTAACTACAACTGAGAAATTTCAACTACTCTATTGAGTCATGATAGTTAATAAGTTCTTTTTGAAAGACAAATAAAATTAGCTCGTCTATGTGTCTAATAATATACATAAATGGTTAGAAAGCTTTACGGTACCATGAATAAATGAATTTTTTTAGCTGGATTAGACCATAAACAAAACTTTCAATTAGAATGAATGATTTCAGACAAATATAATCATTCAGTGTAGTTATAAATTTTTTGGCTTCACCTCAGGAGTAATTTGGCGTATAGTTTGTGAGCTTAGTGTATCATCTTCCAAAATACGAGTGAATGATAAGCAATATAACATATAAAAATTGTAGGAATTTATTTAGCTACTTAGATAATTATAGCTTATTAACTGATTAAATCAAAAAAGCAAAAGTTACTCAACATGAGTCATATTTAAATAATAAATCAACTTCTTTACAAACCTTATATTAGTTTCACTTGGTATTGTTTGGCTTGTATCTTCCCATTGAGGTTTAAGACTGCAATTGATCAGTCTGTTATTGGCATATGTGCATGCTGTGCGTATGCCTCGATATTGCCTTAATGCATAAGCTTTTTGTAAGCAATGATGGATAGTGGCTAGCAGTGGAATCCAGGACGCACGTTTCGTCCCATTTTGGACTCGTCAGTTGGATGTACCTGTATCTCAGAGTTGATGTTCGCTCCGGGACTCGGACCCAGTATCATTCGTTCCAAACGCCATCGTGTTATCCACTCAGTTACTGAGTCTTGATAGCCACTCGCTTGTGCAGTGGGGTGAATTTAAATCCACTTGGTATTGTTTGGCTTGTATCTTCCCATTGAAGTTTAAGACTGTAATTGATCAATCTGTTATTAGCATATTTGCATACTGTGCGTATACATTGATATTGCCTTAGTCTATTTTCTTATTGAGATTCTTAGCAGACGCATATTCAAGATCACATATCCGGGGATCGGACCCAGGACCTTTGGTCTTGCGTGCGATGTAAATATACACTTTTGAGAAATTCCGTACTAGGACAAAATAGCCATCCAGTGCTTTCAAATTTTCTATGATGGTCTAGATAAA